GGCCGGGCTGAGTGAGCTCCGAGCGGCTCCGCCCCGCTGGCCACAGCGCTTCCCTGGGGGCAGCCAAACCTGGTTCTGCCCGGGGGTTGCCTTCGCGTTCGCGGAGGGTCCCGAGGTGTGCGGGCTCATCGCAGAATCGTCAGAGCTGGAGATCACGCAGGCCAACCTCCCCCCCCTCCCCGCCAAGGCAGGGTCACCTGGAGCAGCTGACACAGGAACGCGTCCGGGTGGGTTGGGAATGTCTCCGGACAGGGAGACTCCACGACCTCCCTGGGCAGCCTGTGCCGGGGCTCTGCCCCCCCCGAAGAAGTTCTTCACGTTGAGGTGAAACTCCCGGTGCTCGCCTCTGGCTTCGGGTAGATGCCGTGAGCATTAAAAGCTGACACCAGCAGCAGTGTGCAGCTGCCGAATAAAACACAGTATAGATGTATGCTGTGCTTTTCCTGTCCAGGGGCTGTTCTAAATGCGACCACTTCACAGGGGGCTGTGAAACCTGTTACCATTCCTGACTCTCCCCCCTTTTCAGCTGTCTCACAGGCTTCACTCGAGGTTTCGCGCTGTTCTTCACACTGCAACACGCCCACAGCCGCTTTCACCCGTTTTTTTGCCATGGTTTTCACCTCATGGTGTCACACAGAGCTGTAGCCCAGCCCCAGGGAGCTCCACCGAATTTCCAGCTCAGGGTGTTTTTTAGCAAAGCTGAACTGTTTGCTGGGCTTTGACCAGCAGCCACGGCACTTTCATATGGTTTTGTGGTGGCAAATGTCTGACTGATGGCCAGCCTGAGCCTGCAGATAACGAGATTTCTGCTGGTGATCGTTCTGCCATTCCAACATCCAGCACTGATGACATCCACAGGTTTTCATCAACTCCTGAGTTTTAGCCTTTTGTGCCACCACTAATTAACAGTAGCAGCAAAGCCTGCAGTTCTGACAGCTGTGTGTGAGTCAGGGGAAATAATATATATATATACACGTAACTGAAAAAACCCCCACATTCTTTTTTCTTTAGGCATTATTTTACTCAATCTTATACTGCTGTACTTGGGCTGAGCACACTGTGATTTACAGTGCTATGACAGAAAGGCAGCGCTCAGCTGGCACTGCGGCGTAATTGCTTGATAACCGTGGTAGAACAAATTTGTTCAGTCGAAAAGTACATGCATGGTATGTTACTTGTTATCATCCCATTAGCTTCATGGCTTATGTATGTACTAATTACACCATATTTAAGCTGCGGGCATTCGGTTTTTTTAGTTGCATGTGCTTGGTAAAAAGGAACCCAGTAGAGAAAATGTTAAATGTGTGGTTATGCATGAGTCACACGTTGGACATCGTGACATGGCAGAATTTCTGTGGTAACAACAGCACAGAAAGCGGTTGGATTTCCTAAGTTACTGTTTATCAAGGCAGGCTGTGACTGTCAAGATTGTTCTGCAGCCCCTTAAATACAGGTGGGAGTGCATGATTGGCAGCAGGGCTGCTGATGGGAAATAAAGGGCTGCAGGAATCCGTCTTATTTTTCAGCCACTGCTGGGAGAAGGGAGCAACGTCAAAAGGAGTTTTGATAACATTTACAATATTAAACAAATCTGGACATTGTTTAGAAATTTATTAGCAATTTTAAAATAACATCATTCCTTAGATAAAAATGCAATCTTACAGGAATATACATTTGTCCCACACAGAGATGACCCTATAGCTCACTGGCGGGCCACTCACTCTAACTTTCCTCTGTTGATTTTAAAACGTGCGAGAGGGCAAGACGGACTCTGGCACTGATGACAGGCTTACATGACGGTTACAAACTGTACAGCATTATTTACAAAAGCATTTCTGTGGGTTCATGAAAACTAGATATAAAATTGTGGCAGGAGGTAAAGAATTGAGACAGGGAAGGGCTTGGGTGGAGGTGCAAGGGAGGGCTGGGAGGGTGGGCAGGGAGTGTAGGGAAGAGTGGGAGAGGAGGTTTATATCTGGGCTAATTTATACTTGAGAGAGGTCATTTTACAGCTCTGGGCAATTCAAATGAAGGCAAAACACTTATATTTATCAACATTTATAGCTGATGATCAGAGCAGGAAATGGTGCTCCAGGGCCTGAACTGAAGAGGTGCTGAGGAACCCCATCTTCCCTGAAGTCACTGGGAAACACCGGTACCTTGCCGGGCCACACCCAAACCATGCAGGTGCAGGCCAGATACAGCACCCCCCAGACCTTAAACTGGTTTGATCCTGCAGTGCTCAGTCGTCTGTGCTGATGTGAATTCAGACTGAGTGAGAGATCAGCTCCTAAATTACTTTCACTCCTGAAACAGGACTAGATTCCAACCACTTCTTGCCAGAATTCACCCAAAGTGACTCATTCCTTGCTCTATCAAGCGGCAATTGTTTGGAGGGAGATGTCATCATTCAGAATTGATTTTTAAGGCAGTTTTATAAGTATCTCCCCTTTTTATTTTTTTGTGTGTGATGCAGCAATGTTTGTCAAAGAGATATTTACAATCTCACTCCTCCTCCTACAAAATCTTCCCACATTCAAACTGTCAAGACTGAATAAGCTTGAAACAATCATTTCTATGAGCGATCATAAAGTTGATGATATTTAGATAGTATTGGCTGCCAGTCTACCTAGGTGCTTGAGATGGGAGCAGACTGAGTCAGGATGCTTAAAATACTAAAAGCCTGTTTGGGGAAAGAGCTAACAGAAAAACACAGGTATTTCTTCATCCAAATTATGAGGCTAGCAAATGGTGTCTGAGTTTGTGGGTCTGTCTTGAATAGGATAAAGCTTTGGAAAGGGGCTGTTTGAACGCTGGCAGGAAAATTCGTTGTCGGGTGGAGTGATGCCTGCTCTCGCCTGGGCTTGCCCCTGCTCCACTGGGCCTGGGATGCAGCTGCTAACCCTGGCCTAACGTAAGGGCTGGGCAGAGCGCTGTGAACGTCAGCCTGTCGGAGTGGAGGCTGTGTGCCTGACTTGGGGTAGAAAAACAAGAGCATGGGAGTGTGCAGACAAGCTCCTGGTCCTGCCTAACTAAGCCCTTGGTAATGCTAATGAAGATTCCCTCATTACATCAGTCATAGGTGCTGCTCCTCTCAATTAGCCCTTTAGAAAGGGACTTGATTAAGTTGCCTAATTGCCTCCGGCCACCTGAGATCTCTGCCATCCTCTGGGGCTGGTGGCTTAACACCAGCCCTGCCTGGGGCAGAGTTGTGCCTTTCTGAATGAGCTGCTGCAGACCCGACAGGGTCCTGTAGGGTATCTCAAGTGACAGGAGACGCCACATTTAGGCAACTGAGTCGAGCCCTGTGCCCCTAAAGAAGGCCTGTTTTTTATGCTCAAGTGTTAACAGCTAAGCTCCCCATAAGGGGCAGAGGAAGAATGGAGGATTTAACTAGAACACTAAAGTTTGTATCAGAAGAGGTTTTTGGTTTTGTTTTGTTTTTTTTTTTTTCCATTCCAGTGTGATGCTGCTGACTTCTCTGAGAGCAATTGGAGCCCAATCTGTTTTCAGTACAGGACATGTCTCTTGTTGTCCTTCTGCCCTCACCCCCCCCGCCCCCCCCACCTCAGAGTGCTCTAGCAGCAAGGCCATAGTGGTTTCAGCTGTCCAGAAACAAAGTAGGAACAGGGATAAAAGCTCCACAGACTGAGATCCCACTGGAAACCTTCTGGATTCCTGGGCTTGCTTACGGAATAAAACTTTAAAAACTTTGCAGCATTCAGAAGAAGAAAAAAAGAAACCCTGTGCAGCTACTGAGAATTATATTTGTTAGACTTCTTTGAAGAAGAAAATAAATGGGGGGAAAACATAATTAAATTTTTCAGAGCCCAGTTCTGTTTTCCACATTCTTTGTATCAATAAAACCTCTGTGGCCTCTAGTGCCCTCCAGCCTCCATGTTAGCAAGATGGGAACAGGGGTTTCTGATGGCCTGGAATGTTTTCTTTATATGCATTACAGTTTTCATTATGGGAACTGATAAAATGTCACCACTACGAGAAACCCCAACTGGATTCTACTTATTTTATATTGGCTGTGCTCCAAATTCCCCATTCAGTGTTCCTGTCCCCCACCCTGCCCCTGCCATGGGGACAGTCACGACAGGACCATGCATATATCTTAGGATACTCAGTTCTGTCCCAGCAGGGCTGCTTCACTTCAGCTCACTGGACAAGTGGGTCGGGGTTTCTCATCTACATGTACGAAGCAAGGCCTCCAACTTCATCTGTGACTCAGGGCAGCAACCCCACGGGCTCGTGGTGCCGCCACCCCCTATGATTGTGTCTGTGTGCAAAGCGCATACATTCCATAGAGCAATCTGAAACTATCAGGCAGAAAAGACACAGGAGCCTGGCTGAGACCCATACAACTGTTATATTGGCGTCAGTCTAAAGAAAGCAATGATACATTGCTTTGGAAATTATCAAGAAATGTAAAAAATGCATTTGCCCTTTCTTTGTTGTTGTTGTTGTTGTCATTGTTGTCGTAGTCATCGGGGCAGGGTTCTGAGTCAGAAAACAAAGCAGAAATAGATGCGATTCTGTACATGGCGCCTCTCTGGCTGTCCCTCCGTGCTGGGGTGTGGTGGGCAGGGTAATAAACCAGGCGGGACCCCTGCAGTAGCAGCAGCATCTACACCATCATCGTCCACATGTCCAGCTGAAGAGGCAGATGATGCACAAAAGGTCTGTGGGTATTGAAACTCCAGCTCTGGATCGTGAGTTCCACTTTCTTTCCCATCAAGTCAGCCACACAGAAATAAGGAAGAAAAAAAGAAATGCACCTGGTGTGGCTGGCCCAGAACTGTCTGGACTAATGAGCAGGAGTGATACAGGGAGGAGGTTTGTTGTTTTAGAAGAAATGTCTTTAGTCTGCAGTGTACTCTTGCAAGTCAGAGAGGCTCAGGCAAACAGCAGATTTGTTTTCTTTTCCCCTTTCTTTCCTTTCCTTCCATGTCATTCCTCAGCCATTGGTTCCTTCAAAGCTTCCACCCACAGCACAGTGATTGTACATACCCACCATCTACTCCCATATGCAGGAAAACACTCCAGGAACTAAACCTGCCCCCTCCTTCCCACTGTCCCCCAGACTCTGCCTCGCTTGAAGGAGGCAGTAGCTCTTTGCTCAGGCCTGTCACAATGTGCACATTGGAAGTACCTCAAATGAAAAAAAAATAAATAAAAATGCCGCCCTCCCCAGAAAGAGAAATTTGCACAGCTGGCACCAGCAATTACTAAATTTAACACCTCAAACTGCAAAAGCCATCTGCATTCTCTGCTAGCCATACATTTTCCACTCTGCAGGACCTAGGACAGAGCAGAGTTTCCCCTGGGCACTGTAGGCTCTGACCCTTGAGGGAGTCGCAGCTTTCACCAGGAATGTGTGAGGCGTAATCCTTTCCGCCGTTTTCCTTCCCATCAAAAAAAGTCCTCAAAGATGACACAGGCTGCCAAGCATCCAAAATGCCCTTTGTCACCACTAATTTAGATAAGTGTTCTGTTTGTCAGGAGCAGAGAAGACCTTCTGTCTCCGACTGGGAGAGTCAGATGGACTTTCTAGTGGAAGAAAATGAGACAGGGAGCCCTTACACTGCCAGGCACAGCATTCTTTTCTTTCAAGTACCTTTGGAGCATATCAGCACTAGCAGCAACAAACTCAAAGGGAGACACACTTGTGTGCCCATCTTGATACGGGCACAAGGGATGGAAAAAGTGAGACTGACCGACATCAGCTGGTTACTTTCTCCGGGGAAGTCTTGAATTACGACTTTGATGACAGATGGTTGTAAAAATGGATTTGTATTTCTCTAGTTTAAACATACTTGGGGTTTTTCTGAAGGTTTCTTAAGCTGATACTGGCCAGTTCAAAAAGTGCATTGTCAAAAACACCCTTTGGTATTTCTCCTTTATGCCCCAGAGAATCAAGAAGAAAAACAAGAGCATTACAAAAATAATGTAATCAACGTATGCAATAAATGGTGTTCTCGGACATCTGCAGAAGCTCAAGATTTGAATGGAAGTTTAGCTCTGAGTCAGATCACACCGCCTAACTCAGCACTGATCTGCAAATTTGTGAACCATCTTGAGAAGGGAGAAAAAACAGCAGTAGTCTGGACAAAAATCAGTTGCAAAAAATCTAACAATACATGCCTGTTTTTTTTCAGCCTCTCTCATGGGTTAGGGCTGAGTATCAATGCGAGAAAAGACAGTTTCATACTCACTAGTCAGGAAATCTGGCTGGGACACACTGTGCTGTCAGATGTTTTGTGACTTAGAATCTGACCCATCCACTGAAGTATGGGAAGAGGACTGAGACTATGCATAGGAACACACAAAAGTGACTCAGCATCTGCATCTTGACCAGTCTCAGCAATTCTCCTAATAAAGATCCAGAGCTCTCTCCCTCGCTTACCCTCTGCTTTCAGTTCAGGACAGAGTTAGACAACTTTACTTTGCTAACTATTCTGATTCTTGCATTTCTTATCTGAGCACCCTGCTATAATTGAGCAGGGTCAGCTATCTAATTAAATAATTTTGAAAGCAGATTTCCCCCCCCCTTGCTCCTTGAATTGCTGGTGCCAGCTGACTATGTAGGATGGATCTGCCAAATGGGCTTGGGGGTCTTGCCACCCTTGAGCGGGATGAGACCTTTACAGAAATTGAGCAAAAGGAAAGAAAATAAAGCCTGAATAAAATGTCCCAGTCCAGGGAAGAAAGATTCTCTACCAATAAAGTCATCGTGCATGTTAAAAGGGGGTGAGGAAGAAGGAAAATGAACACAAGATATGCAAAATCAGTAACGTTCAACCTGTCAGTGGATTGCAGAATAGTTACTTACACCAGGTACACTTTGTTCATTGTACAAATTAAAAAAGGAAAAAAAAAATAGTACCCCTTTCCCCAACCACACGTAGAAAAGCACTTAAAAGTTCAAAGGTAAAGCTTGGCACATTCCAAATACGAAATGATTCACTTGACATGCAGCAAAATATACAAGAAGTGATTCTTTTTTTTCTTTTTCTTTGTTAAACAAACTTAATTCAATTCATTATCTTTGCTTGGCACAATTGCAATTCATTTTAAAAAAATATTTGAAAAATACTGAAACTGACCTGAATTCAAGTATAACGGTTTCTTCAACAGAAACATTATCAATGCAATAAAACATCACACGGAATATATTGAAGCGGAACGCCTTCTGGGTTTTTTTTTTTTTTTTTTTAGTTCCCCCCACCCCCGCAATTTTTTTTCTATACAGTTTTAATGCCAACACAACTTACAATTTTATTTTTAAAATTAATATTATTGCATTGTTTTTGCATATCTTGTGGAACAGAAAATGCAAAGTTACTGATTCCCTTTTTCAAAAGCAGAGACAGTGGTTTGTTTTTGCATTCAAATGGCCCCAGATACAGATCTCCTGCAGCTCAAACCAGGATGTGGAGAGCTGCATGCACTTACACACACGCGCACGCGCACACGCACACTCGCCCCGTATTGCTCCCACACTCACAGATATACTTAGCACTAAAAAGAACCCAAATCAATCACTCAAATGTGCAAGACTATATCAAGTGCATTGCCTACTATCTTTAAATTATAAAACAACAACAAAAAAAAGGTTTCAGTTACTAGTAAATAAAATTACAAATTCTTGGTGTACATAATGGTTGGTAAAACTCGTCTATTATCGTTATACTTCTACCAAATTTCAATGGAGACCCCCCACCCCAGTTTAAATAATACAACATGATCAAACCAATTTAACATTTGCAAAGGTGAAAATAAACCAAACCAAAAAAGGTAGGTGATTACAAAACGCTGTAAACACTCCCTTCTCCCTCAAAAAAAAAAAAAAAAAAAAAAAAAAAAAGAAAAAAAGGTCAAAATAAAAACTGCAACATGCTTTCAAGGAAATATCAAACCGCAAAACAAGAAGGGATCTACACGAGCCCACCACCACCACCTCAGCATGGGTGGGGCAGGTCAGCTCCGCCCCGCTGCAGAGGCGGCGCTCCCATTGGCTGGCATGGCTGGCTGTCTGAGCTCTGATTGGCCAGCAGGAGGCTGCCTGAGCTCGGATTAGCTGGCAGGTGACTGCCCGAGCTCTGATTGGTCGGCAGGAGTGGCCGCCTGCGCTCGGATTGGTTGGCAGGGACCACTGCCTGGGAGTCTCGGCGGGGCTGGGCAGCTCTGCCGCCTGCCCCTCGGGCACCCCTGCGCTTCTCCTGCTTCCTCCTCCCCCTCGCGGCATGGGAATCCACAGCAGAAGTCTTCCTCTCCTTCCGAATCAAAGGGCCTTGGCTTTATGGAGACGGTGAGGCTCATACAGAATATGTGCAAAATGATTTTTACAAGCAAAGTCGAAAGACACCCGTTTGGCGCAGGGTCCTTTTGGCTAGGGCCATCCACAGGAAGCTGAGGTTCCCCTTCGTGCTCCGGAGGCAGTTGTCGTTCCTTGTGCAGGGACTGAAAAAAAGAGGGAGCTTGCTCTCCTCCTCTTCCTCCTCCTCCTCACTCTTCCTTCATGGACACGTGCTGGGGTTATATCCGCTCCTGAAAAGCTTTCTTACACCACCCAACTCTGCGACTCGTCCCAACAGAAATGAATGAAGAACGCTGTTCCGGTTACTCCAGGTCACGAGAACAGTGAGGCACTTCTGAAACAAACCCATTAGGAACATTGAAACAAATAAAAAACCAGCATCGCTTCCAGCCCTGGCAACTACAGGCTGCTGATATAAATCCTGCTGTCCTTGAGCTCCTCCTGACTTATTCTACAATCCGGGTTCTGCACCTCTTCCTCTTCCTCTCCTGCACTGTCCTGCCCTGGGTCCCTGCAGTTAGCAAAAGGCAAGAGGTTGCCATTGGGGCTCTGCTTGCTGTTACCATTGAGAATGTTGTCTGCTGCATTTTCCATCTCTTCTATCGTCATGTCGCAGGCGTCTGCGAGCTCCTGGGTTGTGACCTCAATGAACTTTGGATCTTGAGCAAACTGCATCAGTCCTTCCGAAATCAAGACCTTCAAAAGCAGGCAGGGAACCAGAAACAAAGACACACGTTAGTACTCTGCATCGTCAACCCTGTCACGCCTCTAACACAACCCTCTTCCACTGCTGTGTTTTCCCCAGAGGTCCATCTCCCATTTATGCTGCTTGGAGATGGGCTCTCCTACTCTTGGCATTGTGGGCAGCAACATATCTGTTGCCCTGCTCTTCCATGGGCCCTGTTTCTAGCCGGCCTTGACAACAGTGTCCTTTGTGACTCTGCAGTCTTACCGCTTCCACCAGGCTGCTGGCGCTGCCGTGGAACTGCCTGCTGCTCCCGGCGGTCGGGCTGGGGACGGTGAGGGACACTGGCCTGGCTCTCCTGGGGCTGCTGCAGCCGGTGCTGTCGGGGAACCGGGAGCCGCAGTGCACCGACGGGAAGCTGCTGTTGAGCTTCTCAGTGGACTCCGCCCCGTCGAGGCGCAGGGTCGGGATGGTCTGTTGCTGCCAGCCACGGTTGCAGGGGGTGGCGGGGGGCGTAGCACACAGCCGGGAGAACATGGTGGGGGAATGGCTTCGCTGGAGCAGGGGACTCAGGCCGGCCACTGCTAACGCCTGTGGACAGAGGAGGAGCAAGATGAGTGAGAGCTTGCACTCGGCAGCAGGGCTGGAAGGAGTTGGTTCTGGAGAAGCTCCCCAAGAAAGGCCTGGAGAGTCTCAAGGCTTGTGAAAATAGCTGCCAGCTCCTCGATGGGTTTGGATGTTTGCTGCAAACTCGTTTTCCTTGAAATGGTGTGCCCTGTGCTAGTGCCAAGAACCAGACTGAAAGCTTTCACAACTGCAGTTCCTTGGCCTTGGAGCCACCGTACTGACAGGAGGGATGCAGCCCAGCTCCCCACAGCCTTGCCAAAAACCACCTCTTCTCCAGGGGGTGATACAGCAATTCATTTTCCCACCACTGCCACCACACATACTGTGAGCTTTTACTGCCAGTTGCTGTGTTTTCTCTCAGTGTCTACTGAGGAACCTGAACAGATACCACATGTGAATTTTACATGTGTCTGCAGTTGGCAATGACTTTAAATCCACCACTGGATTTTAAGGCATCTGGTGTTGGTGGGAGGATCAATATACTGTCAGCCATTCAAGTCCTTCCTGTAATAATTTACACCACCTCTGAGTCATCCAGCCTTTTATAAAAAATTTCTCAAGAAGCCCCATGCTGCACAGGGCTGATGTGATGCCTTATTCATGGTGACTGCCTCCCTGTTCTAAAAGCAATACTGTCAGAGTCGTAAGCTCATCTCACAGAGCTCACTGCAGCCCAGTATGAACAATTAAATAAATGCATGGAAAATGCGAGAGGATGTGGATTGTGTTGCAGAAAATCCCTTTGTTCAGTCTGGGGTTAGTCTCACCCAGCTTCAGCTATCTGAAGGCTCCATGTAGTCTAAGCTGTGCAGAAAGACACTGGCAAGCCTTTTGTCTCTTCAACCCCTGCCTGAAAATGCTCTCTCTGAAAATACTCTCAAGACTTATACAAGACTTAAACTTGCCCTTTGGAGGTGCTCCTTCCTGTTGTTGACCACAGTGGGACTGAACTGACCAATTTAAACTAGAGAGCTAATTTTAAGCTATCTAATGTTAAGTGAACTCTGCCCATCTGCCACTGAAATCCTTGGGAACTGATAACTATGCTGATGACTTCAGTGACAGATGAACAAAAGAATTAATTATTAGTCACCTACAGGGTTCACCAAGATTTTCCCAGGAATTAGATGCCAGACTCCTATCAGATATCAATGAGGAAGAAAGTCCTTAGAAATTCTTCTGTATAAGTCATGCCCTGCAGGCTATGATGGCCTCAGCACATCCCTTAAACTGCCAGGTCTTCAAGGAGAGACATAGACCTGTCAGGCAGAACAACACCACCAATTTTTCAACTTGTTGGCAGAAACATATAACAAAGTGTTTTATCAAAAATATAAGGTGCTGAGGAAGCTGAAAGAAGCTCTTATGGACTGCTTTGAGCTTCAGCTGCATACATTTACATATTGCGATGGACAAGTATTTCATGATAATACCTCTTCAGGCATTCACAGCAACAGAATCTATTACACTTAGCAGAGGCAACCTGTCCACTCTCATGTTCTTGTTTTAAGCACTGTTGTAGGCTGACATTTTTGTACACATGTGAACACTACTGAATGTTGTCAGCTGGAGGCCAGATGCCTATTGCAGGGTAGCCCTTCAGTCTGGCTGAGTGACACTTGGGTGGACAGTGCCCCATCCCTCTAGGTTTTTGTGGGGGGATGAGGAGGAATGAAGTAGCTCCATCCTATTTATATGGGTTGGAGGGAGGTGATTCTGCCAGCTGGGTGGGCTGAGAGGGTGGGAGGCACGTGTTCCCTCTGCCTGGACTGCCATGGGAGGGCAGGAAGTCTCAGGAGGGCTGTTGCTGCTGTGTTGAATGTGGGAAGCTGTTTCCTGCCCAGTCCTCCTTGCTCCAAGGAATTTTCTGATTGTCCCTGCCACAGCTGTAACTCTCTGCAGACTAATGCCTTCTGGAACTTGAGTATTGAAGGATAAGTCTCTGGGAGTGGAGGTGAGAAAAGCCAGGGAGCCTCAAACATACTCACCTCTCACTCCTCTGCTCTAACTTCTCACTTCTCCCAGCCCTACTGTGTAGCATTTTGTGCCCCTGTGGCAGTGAACGAGGTGACAAGGCCATTGTGCCCTGCCCCAGGGAACTGCATGGAGCAGGACACCACCCTTGCAAGGCTGGCACTACCATCTGCACCTGTTTCTTTTATGGTGACAAAAAGTGGCATCATCAAAATAAAAGACACAAATCTGCTTTGGAGTATGACAGCTGGCTAATCATCTCGGTACGTGCCTAAGCATACATTTGCTAGGCTGCTGAACACAGTTACAAAGGGCTTGAGAAGCTGATTAATGACAAGTAATCAGACTATGTTTTAAAATGATTAATTACAGTTACTGGTTACCTTTAATTAACATGAAAGTAGACTCTGCACATTTTATTCATATGCACACTACCATCAAAGCCAGTGTAATTGCACTGCAGCATGCAATTTGGGTAGCTATTTTTATCTTTTAGTTAGTATTTTATTTTATTCTTTTACTGACATCAGAAAACAATAACTCTGCTGACTGCAAAGGACATATTCCTGTAGCATTCTTCTGGGAATGATAAAAATCCTGAAAGCAGGAATGAGCACGATGGCAAATCTGATTTCTAAAAACCGGATCATTGATGTGGGTGAGAAACTATCCCAAATGGCTTTTAAAAAGTTGTTTGGGATGCACTGGGGAGGCACTGCAGGTAGTAGGGTTTCAGTTTCATTGCTGGGCCCTTTGTGGTCATTAACACCTACCTGATGATGTACCAGATGCAAAGGCAGAACTGTCTTCTGCGAGACATCCACGCCCTGGTTCTTCTGTCTTTTCAAACACTCTAAGTGAAAAGATGCCCTTCGACCTGAAACAGCAATCACACACAGCTGTGTCCATCACTCATAACACACTACAGGTAATTTCTTTTCCATTTTCTTTAGTGCAGTCCCACTGGAGATACAGCAAAGACACCCTCACTTCCAGCTCTGTCCACTTTCCCTCGACACCTTGCCCTTTCCAGAGCACACGTGTCTGCAAAAAGCAGTGAGGCATTGTGAACCAACCAACACTACCTTCAGATAAAATTCTGAAAAATGATTTTTATTTTTCCTCTTTTACAGTGGAAGTGTTCTCAGACCTCTCTGGTCCAGACAAAGCCCCTTTCAGGACTGATGATGGCAGCTGAGGCTCTGGTGCTGTGCGTGGCTGTACACAACATGCAGAAGGGGATGTCAGGCTGCTCAGGTGACACTGGCCTCCTGCTTGCATGTGATCTGTGTCCCTTAGCTGCCAGACATACCACAGTTTATGAGACTGTGTCTATAGCAAGGTCAAGTGCAAGTGAATTAATCAATGATGAATTTACTAGTGAATGGGAGGTGACTTAGACATGAGGCATTTTCAAAGTTTGGAAAGAAGGGAAGGGAAAAAAGCTTTTTTTTTTCTCTTGAAAAAAAAAAAGATTTTAGGGGGAACTGGTGAAACAGTCGCATTGTTTACTTGCTATAAAATCGAACTTTATTTCTCTAAATAAGAGAAGTTCTTCTCCCTATTAAAGATTGAAGAGTACTGCAAAGTATGTTTATGAAAAAGTACAAAGGCTTTACTTCCGGAGAATAGCAAATAAATCCAATATTAAAGATTTAGTGCATGACACACTGCATGGCACACTAAAATATTTTGGGGACTTCTTGATCCTGATGACATTTTTCTAAAGAAGGAAAGATAATTAGAATTCTGAAAATAGGATGTATCTATAGTATTGATTTGTTGAGAAAAAGTCCTCTCAGAGGTTGGAGAGGACTTTGGTTGGGAGGAGCTGCATTATAACCCAGAGAATGAATGTTACAATGCAGGTTAAAAGTATTTTCTCTTTCTAGAGAAGAAAACCAATTAGTAAAATGAGTTTAACATCACTGTATAAATATTCACTAGGATGTAGTTAATGAAGCATTGTATCAAGGACTGACTGCCTTACAGATAGGAATTGTTCTTGCCTAATATTTTAATATTTGAAATAAAGTAAATGCTTTTAGAACACTCAATTGTACAAGCATCCTGAAGGATTTGAGTGAAGACTCAGTAGCTTCACTTTAGACATTACACTACCTAGCCTGTCACTGTTATTTTATATATAAAGTATATTTTATACACATGATTCTTTTCGGTTTCTCCCTGCAATGTCCTTGTTCTCCACACCAATACCCAGGAGAAAGGCTGAAAAATGTTGTAGCTAGAAGAGTTCATTTTCTAACAGACTCTTACATTTGTCTTAATACTTTCATAAAATCTTGTGATTCATGGATTTCACTTTCATAAAATTTGTGATTCATGGATTTCACCTGACAGTGTAGTTTACAGGCTCAAGCACTTGAAAATCTCCAGGTACAATCACAGTAGGTAATTTGTGTTGTGTTAAATTAATCAGTAATTCACTGTGTTCCTGGTAGCAGACAACAGAGACAACCTCTCCTTGCTGAATACATACAGACCAGAACACTGTATATTCAAGGCTAGCCCATTCAGTGACTCCCTGGTGACTGTTTGGAGAGTCCACAGTGCTCAAATAGACTCCTCTAATTTACAGGCAGGCTTTATCAAGCAGATCACATGGACTATCCAAACAGCCACAGGTTCATCTACTGACTGAGAGTGTGAAGTCAGCACAGTCATGTGCGTGACCAGGATCATCTGCACACTGGGGGATTCCTGGTCTAACAAGCTAAAGGCAGCAAACAGCAACCCCTATGCCCACACAGGCTGGGAGTCCCCCAGCAAGATGGGAGACTCCATCAAGGCAGAGGAGAGCACAGCCCCTGTGTCCTGCTGGGAGGTTACCTAGTGCTGAGGAGCACAGAAACCCTTTCTTCGGAGAGTGCCGGGTGTCCTCTCCTTTGCTGTTTTCTGGTGGAGTGAGTTGTCTGTTTTCATCATCTTGGTATGCAAGCCTGGAAAGGAGAACAGAGGGACTTAGAAAAGCAGCTGATATTGGACAGAATAACTCCTCACCCAGCAAGGAAGCCAGGAAGATCATGCTAGCAGAAGGATGCAATAGTGAGCTAGCTTCGAGCTATAACTGGTCCAGGAGCAGTAACAACTGTGAGACAGAGAACCCCTCTAAAAATGAGATTTGGGAACATCAGGTGGTAGAAGGGAATGTGGAGAAAGGCCCTGCAGATCCAGATGCCTCATTCAGAGAAGAAGGAAAATCCTAGGTGAAAGATATTCTTTTCAGTGTTACTTCTAGGGTTTAACTGCAGGTTCTGACCTTATCCCATAAATTGACAAAGGTCACCTCTTCCCACCTCTCCCCCTTAATCAAAGAACCACCCAAACACCTTGACTAAAGCTGCAAAGCTCACATTTCGGTAGAGAGCAGACTTGGTTCACTACAGTACTCAATGTCTTCATTCAAATTTTCATCATAAGTCTCATCCTGAGACACTTCCTCTTGGCAAACAATTGCCAGCTGGCTGTCTCTGGAACTGGAGCTAATGAGCAAAAAAGACAAGTCAAGATATGGAGATGGTAAAGACAACCTGTTGTAAAGACAAGAATGACAGGCTCCATCTGTCCCAGTTTATAATAATGCTGAAGAGCCATCATAGAAAAATCAATGACTGAACAGAGCTACAGAGTTCACAAATACAAAGCAACAACCTTTGTCAGTGTCCTCTGTCAGAGGACGGGTTTCTTAAATCAATGCTGAACAATACTGTAAACGTATTATTGTCATCTGTGACTACATGAACTCTATTAGTGTGCACATCACACTGACCACATGTACAAAGATTATACCTCACCTGAATTCAAAGTAAAATCTGAGATGGGCTCTTGTTACAAAAGCCTTGGTTATGGATTTCAGAGAAGCCTCCTAGACACTCACAGTAACCCTCTCAGCTCTGTGATGTCTGGTGTCTGCCTCCCAAATCCCTTACTCTGCACCACCTCTGCCCTCTGCCTCCTGTTCACACTCTCATTCCCTGCTGCCTTTTTCACTTTTGGTCCCTTTTTTCCTCATCACTAACTGCAGAGTGCTTCTACTGAATTCAGTAGGATCTGTTCAGACCCTTAGGTGTAACAGCCCTTAATTCCCTGCTTGCCTCCTCTCTGTCCCTCTGTTTCACATTTGGGCACTCATATTTCACTTCATTCGGACTTTGTGTTTTCTGAGGAGTAAAGTAAAATCTGAAGGTAGCTTGAATTTTTGAGGTACCAATATGGAGGTATTGGAGACAATCTCAGTTTCTTACTAGCAATTGCAGGAAAGAGCAGTGTGGCAGGTTTTTGTTTCATCTTTCAGGGACTTGAGAGGAAACATTATTTTGTCATCTGGTTTAAGCAAAAAGCATCGGGAAAAATGTGTGTATGCAAGGTATAAGGGAGCCTGTAGGCTCAGAGAGCTTGTAGGACTGTGCTGGAGCGACCTTCCTCCTTAAATGGGAGGCAAGTAAAACTGCTAAGGTGCAGAGGGGAAAAAATCAGTACATGGTATCTCCTGCTCAACAGTCTGTGTTTAGCCAAAACCATACAGAATTTTTGTGTGCACATGCCAGGGTGTACTTCACTATGCCATGGTGAGAGAGTGCATAGATGTGTGAGCCCAGCTAGAAACTCTAAAAAAAACCCCAAATCTAGTAAACAGCTAGAAACTGTCCATGAATCACTACCTGCCCTGTGTTAAGAGCATTTTCTGGAGCTGTCATGGTGATCACTACCTCTCTTTCAGCCCTACTGACACCAAAAAGAAGAGCCTGTATTCAGCATGAATGGGAATTTGGACTTTCAACAGGATGAGCAATGAGTCTTACACCCAGACAGCATTAGACATTATGGAGAACACATACCGTCCCAGTGTTTCGTAGTAATGTGTCCTAATTCAAGCAAGGTGCCCAAGGAAGCAAGGAGAGAAAAGAACACCACGTTAGCAGTGTCACATCAGCACAAGTCAGCAAAGGAGGAGGGCACATGGTAACATGTGTTGTGCAACTCCTGTGGCCTCCCTTGGGAAGGCATGAAATAGAAAAACCCTGGGACTCTTTACTTGGGCAATTCTGCACCCACTGAATTTCCTCTGTCTTATTGTCCTATTCTGTCCTTTCCAGGGGCAGCATTTGTGCACCTTTTCCCACTGCCCACTCTCTGCACTGAAAAAACCAAATTCCAGCTCCTTCCTGATGTTACTGAAATCTCCCTCTGATAAAAATGATCCTCCTTTTGTATTAGACACCTGTGTGTAGAGAGCCTGAGAACTGACCAGAGAACGGGATTTTCTTTGTGTTGCACAGTATTGCATTTCTGAAGACCTTGCCTCCCTTCCCCAGAATGCTTTTGGTGACCTCTGTAGGGATGTGACCCACTGAATGGAAAACCACTGACTTCCACAAAGCTCCCTACTGGGCGATTAAGAAATGAATTGCAGTGTCCTTCAGCTACCAGTTGATAAAACTCCTCCCTGTGGTGAAGGAGGGATAAATAAGGCTCCTTTTGGTTCTTACAAAGGTTTCTTCATGATAAAGCCCAAACAAAACAAGTGAGTTGATCAGTAAGAGTGCTTCTGCTTTGCAGTGCTCGACTGATGCATATCTGTTGCACTGTGGGCTTTGGCACAAGTGGAGAACCAGAAGGCTCAATCCAGGCTGCAAGCTGGGCAATGTCTGGGGGTGACTTCAGCTGGGCAGCAGTGCCCTGGTGTTTGCATGCACGTTCCTATACCCAGTCCCTTGACTTACCCTGCTATGAAACTCACCTTTTGGATGGTAGTTTCCAAGGAGCCTCCTGCACACATATCGTGGGTGACAAGGGGGTCCCATGGCCTTCCACTGTGCTGACAGTGCTGGGGTAGGTGGGTGGGCTGGGGAAGCGGCACAGGGCAGTGTTGTTGGCATTGTTGATGTTGGCATTGGAGCCTGAAGATGAGTAGCTGCTGGGAGTGAAGGTGGAGTCCACCAGCTTCTCATGAGATGGAGACTCGGTATCTCCGTGGTTGTTGCCAGACTTATTGATGTGCAGAGGTCGCTGGGTGGTAAATGTCTGGGGGAATGCACTCCTGCCATCACTTTGGTAATAGCTGACATGGTTTCCAAACAAGCCTCCAGCTCTCTGTCAGAAAAACAGAAATGATTTTCCCTTTGTGAGTGAGAAGATGTGCAAGGGCCCTGGCGTTTCCTGCCTAGCCTGTTCTTGGAAAAAAAAAAGTGAGAACCAAACTGTTCATGGCACTGGTGTTCTCTCTTCCAGAAGGTGCTGTGTGGACTTCTCTGTCACAGAGACTAGGTACACACAGGCTGTGAAAACTTTAGCTTTCTACGATATTTCAGAGGACTGGCCAGGTGTATAGGTGAGGCAAAGGGGTCTCTACACCTCCCACCAGTCCTGGAACAGCAGGACTGGGTAGGAATGCAAAAACCAGGTAGCTCCTGTCTGGTTTTCCCAGTGCAGTTGCGAAGGAACATTCAGACATGAGAGGGAATTTGAGAAGAGCATCAGAAACTATTAAGAAGGAAGAAATGATGAAAAATTTAGTGAGCCAGTTATGTACTGTTTAGGTGGTGAGTAATGAAAAGGACTGGCAGCATCTTTCTGTAAGGAAAGGAGGAAAACATCAAGAGGGAGGAAAAATTACCAGAGGAGACAATTACAAGAAATAGGAATGAAATAAGAAATAAAAGATTTAGGTAACTTGCTCAGAAAATTTCCTCCTTCTATAGGATCTCTCTTGGGTTCTGATGTACTTTTTGGAAGGATGCTACTTGTGCCACAGAAAAGAGTGGACAAAAACACTGAAGTGTGCCTGGCTGCTGCTCTGCAGACTGTGAGATGGTTTAACGGATCTGTTCTTTAATTTAGATTTTGTGAGGGAAACTTCCACTGAGGAGTTTCCTTTGAGACAAAGAGAGAAGAAATTGGGATAAAACTGTGCAAACATCTCAGGACCTGGCCTCCTAGGTTCACTATGCTGTTTTCTAGTAGGACCTACAAAACAAGAAGGAAGACCCGGATGAAATGCAGAATGCATAAAAGAGAATGTAGCTTTCTGAGCTCGGCTACTGGCCTAGTCTCAACTCACAAACTTGTTCAGCACCTACCCGGAAGATATCATCTTCAGAGGCAGCAGAGACAGCTTCTTTCATGGCCTTATCTAACTCTTCCTCAGCTGTCAGGTCTCCAGAAATTGCTCGTCGGATCTCTGGGCCAATGTCGTGGAGTGTGCGCAGACCAGCCTGCAAAACAGCAAACTATAGAGCTTCATATCTCCGAGTGGATATGGGAGAAATAACTGCATTGCCATTTCTTCCTAAGCTCTGTGAAGCCCTTTTACTTAGCATAGCATCCCCAGCTCCTAGAAAAACACCAACAAATTCTGTTCTTTCATCTCCAGCTTAGAGAGGGAGAAACTCTTAGCAATACAAGCCAGGAATGTTTGTTGCTAGTCCCCTGGCTTCATCACAACAGGACACAGACATAAATCCACAGGCTTGACTAAGCAGGTCTTTGTGCTTTCAACTCTAGGTTCTCAGATCCACAACCAGAAGCCCTTGAGCAGTCACAGTTCCAGCTGAACCATGTACTCTGGTGCCTCTGAAAATCTCTTCTTTTTAATCAGAAGCTTAAATACGGATTTAATAGCTAAACTTCTGGCATCTGGACCTGGATAGTCCTCAAGCCCCTTGCTGACTGGAATCTGTTCCAAGGAGTAAGCTGTGGGTATACTGAGACCTCATTCTGTATTTGTGCCCACATCACAGCACTTTTTAACTTGCTGAAATTCCAGAGTCACCCTTCTTCCTCACTGTACCCTCAAGGGACATAAATGGTGCTGCTTGTACAGTCAATGGGGCTTTCTCATTCTTTCACACAGTTGGTAGTTCACCTAGTGAACATGTAGCAGAGAGGTGAACAGATCCCAGTTCTTTGAGCCTGATGCCCTGTCCATTGGATGGCCTTGGCATCCAGATATGCTTTTTGCTTTTTAACTGGTTTTGCCTCCTGGCAACATGGTCTCCCTGACCCTGTTACAATGACTACCCTCAGAAAGGGTAGAAGGTATGCGCGAATAAGCAAATGTCTGTAGGACACTTCATACCAGTTCTCTGAAAGGATCCCAAATTTCAAATATTCCCAGCAGACTGATAAAGTGTGGTTAGAGCTCACTTGTGCCTTCCATTTCCAGAGCTAAGGGATGTGGGCCCACGGCACATACATAGTCACCCAAAAGGAGTGGCGTGATAATTCAAGGGGTCTACAAACCCCCTTCCAGTAGGGATAGCCCAATCCAGCCCCCAGAATGGTCCAGAGGGAAATAGGGTCACCTGCCTCTACTGTACCACCCCGGTCCGTTCTGTGCCCGCTTGTCACCTGTAAGGAGAGCGCGTTGCGCTGGGAGGGCTTTCCCACCAGCCCCTGCTCTTTACGTTTCTTGAACTTCCGGAAATACTCCTGAATCAGGAAAGTGGCGTAGAACTTCCCGACGGTCACCTCGTCATCTGCAAAGGGGTGTTAAAAAACAAATCAAATAAGCAACTGATTTCAACAGTGTATGTGCTACTCTGAGCCTTGGGATTCGCAGCAGGAACACTGGGCACCACAGGGCGCGTCTGCTTTTCATGGTGTCAGGATACAGAGCTGAAGGAAGGGACTGTTCTACAACCAGAGCTTGCTGTAAAGTAGTCAGGAGGAGAGGTGCATGTGGCATTTGGATAGGTTGTCTCTGCTGGCAGAGAACCCCTATAGCTGTGCACCTCTGGATGTATATGGTTTACGGGGAAGTACATCTGACCTTTGCAGTCTCTGGTATCGGTTAACCACAAAGGACCTCATTATAGCAGCAGCCTCCCAGTCTGGGTCAAAGCATGCTGCTGTCTTGTGACAGCCTGGGGTAATACATGATCTGACTGATCATACATCCTCGACCTGACCTGGCCCTTCTCTGCACTGAAATTCTGTCTGCTTGTGCCTCACATGGGTGTGAGCGAACAGGAACCATCACCTCCACCCTGAAATGCAGCCATTGCTGCATTCTCACTCAATAAAAACTATCAGTCAGCCAAAATGTTTTTCTCCAGGTAACTCTCCTCCCTTCTCCAAACCCTCTGGAAATTCTGTGAAACATGGTCCACTGACTTCAGGGCAGGCCGAGCAAGGTTCAGCACTCGGCTGCATCTGCTGCATCTGCTGCCAAGTGCTGTTTTGTGCTATAGCCCATGGAACCACCTGGAATGTCAGTAAAGGCCTCACTATGCACTAACTAGATGCCCATGCACTAACTCCTATTTATGCACATTTTCTTCTTTCCCTGATTTCTCAGCAATAAGAACGGGATATTCATGATACTATAGGCAGAAAAGATTTCAGCCTGATGAAATACACTTAACAGCTTGTAGAAGAAAGCCTGTCCCCCCATATTCCACCTGATGATCACAAGGTGCAGTAGGACATGACAGATGAGAGAAAAAAACGGAGAGATTCAGAGACTGGGACAAGATCCTGCACTCACCACCTGCAGGAGGCACCACCTGGTCCAGCAGCTTCATGCTGGTGCGCTTCCAGATTTTCTTAATTATTGCTCTCAGCTCTTCGTTGGCTTGCTCCAGGTTACCTGCAGGGTGAAAATCATCAGAGACAGGAACTAAGCAGACCCTGCAGAGGAGCAATTTCATGTCTGGCATGGCAACCTCAGGAGGAAAATATCAGAGCTTTTTGAGTAGTGGAAAGTTTTGGGCCAAGAGATGCTCTGACTGTTGCTAAAGCCCCCTCACAGCAAGAGCTCTTCTTCCTAAATGTGCATACTCATATCTGGGTAGGAAAGTGACAGTTACTGACCGATAGTGGGCAACAGCCAGAAACAACCAGATCCATGGTGCTACCTCATCCCAAAAAGCAACAATTGCATCAAACACTTTTTTAATTCAGATCCAGTGAAGGTCAAATATAATGAGAACAGAGGTCAGTTAATGGGAAACTACAGCTTGGGGATCAGAAATAACTGGTGGTAAAGATGCAGCTGGCAATCTGAAGACCTGTGGCTGCTTGCAGCACTTCTCAAGAACTACTTACTGCAATCCCTGCCTCCCAGCAGATACCAAGCTCCTGCACGTGGTACCAAGAGTCTGACTCGGAGGGTGTGCACAGTGCTCTGACAAGGCACCAGAGGGAAGTGCAAGGCTTTTGCTGTTTGACTCAGAGGACTGTCCCAGGATATACATGTTTATTCTCTGAAGAACAGCTTAGGCTATAACAAGCCTTGTATGACACTGTCTGAACTTAGACTTTACATGTTCCTCCAAGGGGCTCTGAGTTAAATGAGACATTAATTAAGCCACATTACTCCCGTGAGAGTGAGTGAAGCAGATTTGGTTTATATCCTTTCCTTCTAGATACCTGTTTCCTTCCAAACGAGTCACCTTCAATTTTATTTCTTCATTTATGTACATTAAAATGTACGTAATATAAATGAAGCTCTCTTCTCTCTCTAGGTGTATGAAACCAGTATCTTGTCCTCCTAAAGGTGTGGTTCCTGCAGTTTTTCTTATTGCTCCCCAGCATTAAGGCTCCTCAGTGTGCTGCACGGGGCTCTGCATGGCAGTAGCTCTCTTAATAGGATGCATCCTACTCAGACAAGAAAACTAAGTCCTTTTTGTGTGTCTGTTTTGTTAGACCTGAGATATCTTATAGGGTTTGCAGATGGCTTTTCTTCAGGAGAGCTTCTTTAGCTACAGTCAAATTCTGTTTAGCACAATATTCAAAGCCTTAATATAGTTTTTTAATTTTATCACTGTTTTTTGTCTCAGCTGTGTATAATCCTGGCACAGTAACCTAGGGTTCTGCTGGTCTCTGCTTTCCCATACCTGAGATGTAATGCAGCCACTACTGAGGCAGAGCTGTGAATCATAGACCTACATGCTCTTTTAAAGCATCTCATTAATACTTGAAACCAAGTTTTGACTTAGGACCAATATCTTTCATTACAGCAGGTGACAGAGTGCAACAAAGATGACAAGCTGAGCTCAAAATCTTGTCTGTTTTCCTCAACTATACCTGCTGTCTGTGCAAAGCTATTAACAGCCTCTTTACTTCTCATCTGTCTTTAAAACACCACTGTTCCTACAATGTAATGTTAATTCATGCTAATGGAAGCGCAGGAGGAGTTTTAGTGAGATGAGACCCCTGAGTCCAAGCTCTTTTGCCTCCCTTGGACTGGAAGATCAGTGGTGGCAGCAGCTGAAAAGCAGCCCAGCTCTGCAGACAGTGTACAAAGGAGGAGGCTTCTTTGCCCTTCTTCCTTCCCCTGGCAGCTGTTTGAGCACTGATCTAAAACTTTAAACCTTTAGACCATTGTGAAGAACGAGATCAATAATATGAGATGATACCATAGGAAGCATCAGCTTCCTAGGTAACAGGAAACACTGTGCTTTCCTAGAAGAAACTATTCCTCTGAACCTCTTTACACTGCTTTTTGTCCCATGTGCTGCATATGAGTAATTTGGATAATCTTGCACAAGGTATCCTTATTGGTTTACTCCAGCTCAGCACACTTTGGTGTGAACACCACTCAGCTACCTCTGTACCCTTGCAGTCAGCAAGCTTCTTACCTTCTGTCTTGATCCTCAGTGCTGTTCTGACCAAAGCAAAGAGAGTGGCATTGAACATGACAGTCCCATCACTGTTCAGTGGCATATTCATGGAGACAAGGCGCTGTGGAATAAAGAGAAGAAAGAGAACAATCATATTGCCAACACATGAACTGAAGTATGCTCTTCCTTATGTCCTCATGACACCCTCCAGACCTGCCACCCCTCTTATGTGAGCATCCGTGGCCTGTGGATTTAGTTAGACAATGATAAAAATACTTGTCATATCCACCAACTGTGTGCAGTTTTGGTCACCACAATATAGGAAAGATATAAAACTATTATAGAGTGTTCAAATGAGAGCAATGAGGATGCTGAAGGGTCTAGAGGGAAAGCTGTGTGAGGAGTAGCTGAAGGCACTTGGTCTGTTCAACCTGGAGGAGACTGAGAGGAGAGACCTCATTGCAGTCTACAGCTTCCTCACCAGGTGAAGTGGAGGGGCAGGCACTCACCTCTTCTCTCTGGTGACCAGTGACAGGACCCCAGGGAATGGCCTGAAGTTGTGTCAGGGGAGGTTTAGGTTGGATATTAGAAAAAGGTTCTTCACCCAGAAGGTGGTTGGGCACTGAACAGGCTCCCCAGGGAAGTGGTCACAGCACCAAGCCTGACAGAGTTCAAGAAGCATTTAGGCAATGCTCTCAGGCATGTGGTGAGGTTCTTGGGGTTGTCCTGTGCAGGGACTTTGATGATCCTTGTAGCTACCTTCCAACTCAGGGTATTCAAACATTCTATGATTCCACTGATGGCCCCAACCATGGTGTGTTTGCCCTGGGGTGTCTCTTTCATTACTACTCTGTTTTCTTAAGTTTTGGCTACCACTTTCTCATCTTTGTTTTTCCCCGTGGTCTGTGGGGATTGTCACTTGCTGACAATTCACGCACAGTGATTTTTTTTCAAAACTTTTGACTTCCTATCAGGAGCGAAGTGCTTTCTTCATACCTCACGAGGCACTTAAACTCACCTGCATTAAAGCTGTACCTGGTGCAAATGCATATATACAGAGAGACAGAATCTTTCATTTAGGTGACAGGCTTGAAGAAAGGGGATTAGCTGAATCTAAAAGCTGGTCTGCTGTATCCAACTATTCCCCCTCTCCCTTTCAAAACAAGGCTGTGTCTGCCTGTAGTAATTCTGTAAAGTCATATAGGACAGAGAGTGAGTGCTGAGTACTTTGCAACTACAGGGTGAATTTCAGTAAGACTAACAACATGTATATGAATCAGATGTCACAGAGTCACCAGATCTTCTGTCCCAGGAGGTAAGAGATACTGGAGTCTTGGCTTGAACTCTTATGCTTTCAGGGCCTGATTTTGTTTGAGCTCTGCCTTCTGCAGCTTTGATGCAACAGGTCTGGTTCAGAACCAAATTAAAAGACAGAGTGTCATCCCCCCTCACTACCACTGCAATCATAGCCTTTGGGGTGTGAACCAGATTGAGGCAGCAAGGAATAGTTAGATGGCAGACTGAAAGGGATCAGCAGTAGGTCACAGGAGTCACATATTTCTGTGTACAGGCTCCAGGGTTTGTATTTTTCTCTGAGACTTACATAAAAAGACAACTACAAGTTTCACATACAAACTCTGGGACTTGCAAGGAGATGAACAAAGAACTTAAGTGAAGGAAGCATAGAGGTTATAAACACATAATGGTTCACTAGAGAGAGGCCTTTTTTATACCCAGAGTCTCACAACCAAAGAAATGAGTGAGAGATTTTCACAGAAAATCTGTCCTTGCTCTTTGTGTATTTTAATGCCATGCTCACTTTGCTGTTCATTATCTGTCAGTTATTTAAGCAGGAAGGAGTGAGAGAAAACACTAGGTTTATGGTGCACTGCTTAGTCCAAAGAAAACCTTAGAGATATTTTTTACTTTCCCTGTTATTTCTAAGTGTCCTAATCTGTCTCAGGATGAGTATTTTAATAGTACAGGCAGGTGTGTGGCTCTTGGTACTTGAGAGCTGTAGTTAGCATGGATGCGCTCTCCTCTCCAGAGAGGGCTGGCAGTGCACTGATGCCCTTGACTAGTGGACAACCTGCTTGCCAGTGACCCTCCAGCCCTTGACTGGGTGGCTGCAGCCCAGAGGAGCTGGTGAGTGGTGCAGGACAGCAGTTCAGACATGTGCTGTTGCCAGCTCTGCCTGGCAGGCAGTGAGCTGGAAGGTGTCCGGTCGGTGTGGCAGGGTCAGCTGGAAAATGCCACCGCAGGCTCATTAGTGTAGAGCAGCCTGGTCTAGTGGAAGGTGTCCCTGCCCACAGCATGTGGGTTGGAATTAGATGATCTTTCAGGCGCCTTTCAACCCCAACCATTCTGTGACTGTGTGATTGAATCTATAATTCAGCCGCTGTGAACCACGGCCTTCCGCGAGCCGCAGGGTGCCTTACTTTGCAAGCCACCCGGTGAGGGCAGAGCTTCCCAAAGCCCAGGGGGGGCTGAATCCGCCGGAGCAGCGTCACCACATCCAGGTGTTTGATCCGTCCCCTAAAGAAGAAGGCACAGTGAGGGTCGCATCCTGACCACAGGGTGAGCTGCTGATCCACCTGCAGAGTGCAGATGCAGCTGGAAGTGTCACTGAGGTCTCTCCAGCTGCCAGGCTCTCCCTGTAGCCCAGGCAGAGCTTAATGCATTATTCCAGGCCTCTTGTATTTGTTGCATTCCTCAGCATTTGCCCAGCACTCATATAACTTCTACTATTACAGAAAACTCATCTGTCAGTCATACACAAGTCAATACTTGCAAAAATTGACCTCAGTGTTTGAATGTTGCATGAACTGACAATTTGGGGTTGTCCTCCCCACCACTGACCTGCTCAAAATAAATATCTGTTTATTTACTTACTTAGGTCTAAAGGAGGCACAGTGGTGCAAAGAACCTTTTTTCTTCCTTGTGCTTTACCCACTTTTGACCCACATAAATAGCCCCAAGCCTTTTGATACTTGTTTATGCTTTGGGCTGTCTCTAGGGCCAGCACAAAACAAAGTGCTGAACTTCCTTCACAGTAGCAGTTGGATTTCTCTTAAGTTCTGTAAATGGCATCTCAAAAGAAGAATTCTCTCATGGAGGGAGGACAGCTACCAGAGCCAGAGGTGGGGCATGGGACATGGATGGGGAAGAGGAAGAAAAAGAGCTCCCCATTTATAGACAGGGAAGAACAGGATGTCATCTTTACCAAGTGGCTATCTTTTATATGGCTTCAGCCACTGCAGTCTTGCCTCCAAACAAGCACAGATAGTAGCACCTGTTTAGTTAACAAATGGTGTATTTATTAGAATTCTGGGCTTATTCCTCATCCATATTAAAAGTCCCCCCAGGAAGTCAACATAGATGGGAAGAAATGTTCAAATTCACGTATCACTTTCATAATGTGACACAGCCTCACATACGGCAGAACCTGAGCCCAAATTAAACTTGACACTATGTTTCCTAAAGAGATCTGCTTTTAATTTACACCAAAATCTCTTTCCACAGTTTTTGCATTATGAAGGGGGTTTTGCAATTACAATTGTCAACTGTACTGTAATGCCACAGGGATCTAAATACGCTTTAAGCCTGAGCATGTGTCAAACAGAGCATATAATACTGAATGTCAGTTAAGCCCTCATGTGAGTTGTTCTAGTGTAACTTTAAATCCCTGCAAGTCTGCTGATGTGAGTAACCTGCAGACAATGTAATGCAGCCATGTGTATATGCAGATTGTGATGGGCCTATATGACATATGACAAAATGGAGATCTGAGCACAGCAGCTCTACTGTGAGTAGAAAGTCAAGCAGAAGAGTCAATATCCCAAAACACATGCAACAACGAACCATCCCTCTAATCTCCTTTTCTCAGTCTCCTGCTGCCCCTCCCTAAGCAGTCTGTATCTCCCTTCCAACTGAAAGTGAAGCAATGTCCTGCCAAGTAACAGTGCAGCCTAAAGGATGAGATTTTTGTGAGTATCCTTGCACTTCAGGCTTACAGATTAACCAGCAGTACCTCCTGGAGATGTCTATTTTAGGAGTTTTGCAAAAACAGAAAAAAAAAAAAGTGTTCCTGCAGGAGGAACATGCCACTTACTGCAATGGGTTTAGAGAACAGAAAATAATGGGCCTGCTCTCCCAAGGAGCTCTGATATCCAGGCTGGGTTACTTACTTAGCTTCAGGGTCATACTCTGCCCAGATCCTTTTAAACTCATCCAGGTGGTGTGGTCCTAAAATGGACCAGTCCCGTGTCAGGTAATCAAAGTTATCCATTATAACAGCTACAAAAAGATTGATGATCTGCAAACAAAGACAGAGATGACATGATGGAAGAGGCAAGTATCAGTAGATTTTACTGAGTTCTCCATTTAAGGTCTTGATTTGGACTCATAAAACTAGGAAGCTATGAGGGGTAGGTTCTCTGTTCCCCCATGCCAGCCCCCTAGTTTAAATGGGAAGAGCCCAGAGGTGGAATATTCTCAGCTCGTTACACTTTTCCCTTCCCTACTAAATGGACAAGGCACAAGTTTGCCGAATGCTTAGACGTGTTGTGGTGGCTTGTTATTAACCTGGGTCTTTGCCCGGCATAATGGGGTGGGAGAACCTTGGATTTATCTTCTATAGGCAGTGGGGCTGAGATGAAAGTCCCTTCTTCTGGCCCAAGACCAAAACTTTGCAAATTTGCTGCAGTTCACTGGGAGAGTTTTGGGCACTGGTGCCAGCTGCAGAGCATGTGCTGTCACTCTGAGCAATGCCGCACAGCCAACACGGAGCAGATGTAAGTGGGATATGTGTATTCTCACAGTCATTGCTGCTGGCAGGGGAGGAAAAACCTGCTCAGCATCCAGAAGGATGGTAGGAGGGAAGGTGGGAAGTGTGGCTGAGGCGTTGCTAGCCTCAGCACAGCCCACAACACACTAATTTGGTTTTCTCATTGAGGGGGAGGGGGGGAAGAGCGCTCCTTTGCTGTGCACAAAGGATTGGGATGGGAGCAGAGCATCCCCCAGAGCTGGTGGGAGGCAGGAAGGGGTGTTGTCACTGCAAGGGTGCTGCTGGGAAAGACCCCATGGGGAGATTTCCTCTATTTGAGATCATTCTTCTCCTGCGCAGTGCTGATATCTGGGGAAGCAGAAGCTCAGCCTGTCAGAGGGAAGGTTTTGGTTGCTGGGGTGGACTCACCAGGAAGGCACAGAGCATGTAGAAGCTGATGAAATAGAAGACGGCGAAGCTGCTGCCACAGGAGTGATCAGCTTCGGTGGAGTTGGCCGGCTCTGACTCCGGGTCGCACTTCTTGTCTGGGAGACATGCCAGCATGATTTCCTGCCAGGCCTCACCAGTGGCACACCTGGGCATGGCAAAGGGAAAGGGAAGACATCATTGACCTTTGATGTGAGAGGGACTGGCAAATTAGCAACCTGTTCCTGCTCCCATGAACATTAATGGGAATTTTGCCACTGAGGTTAATTAAGAGCAAGTTAGGCTGAAGGCTGGGCTTTGACACACTGGCATACCCTACTCCTCTGTTTGGTTTTGTTGCCATCATCAGTCCTCATTCCTGACTGGCTTTGGCTTAATGTGGGTACGGGTCTCTCCTGTTCCAACCAGACAACCATTGAGATGTGTGTGACACATCTCAATACGGATTGCATCTCATATGGATTGCACGCACAAAGTCCTTCAAAATGAAGAGAGTGTGCTGAATTTGTACCAACTTCCCACCCCTTCAGCACCCCTCCCTCCCTGGCCACAGTCCAGCTGGCCTCAGCTGGAGTAGGATGATGTGCTAAGTTGAGCTGGGTATGGCCATGCCTAAGCATGAGCCCATCATGTCCCTTTCCCTGCTAGAAGTCACACTGGCTAGATTTGAATGAAAGGAGTTTTAGATGCATATCAACATTTGAGAGCACTGAAAACTGGCTACCTTCCTTCCGAGTAGGAGCACCTGCCTCCCTCCCCAGCACTAAGTGTTGGCCAGTGTCAGCTGGTGGGGGTACAAGATTTGAGACTGGCCACTCCATCTGACATAACTCCCAGGCTCCTCTGCTAAAGGACAACATGTTTCTATGCACCTCGTGAGCATGACACGGTAGGAGGAGATAAGCTGTGCCTGAGAGCAGAGGAATCGTGCTCCCAGACTGACACAATCCAGACCTGTCATACACCCACCTGAAAAGCAGCAGCACTGCCTGGGGGAAGGTCTGGAAGTTGTTGTTGCGGTTGATTTCCGTGGTATCGTTCAGCGCAATTTTACCAAACACCTGGCAGAAAGCAGAGGTCTTTTCAGATTAGCCCTGCAAAATCCCCACAGCTCCTGTCACCTGTAGCTCTTGGCCTCACCCTGATTCTGATATTTAACGGAATCTGCTCTTCTATTAAAAGAATGTTTCCATGTGCCTTTCATATTTGTTGTTGCTTCCCTGGCTTGTACTTTATTACCAGAAAAGCACTAATTTTGTAACAAGAGGCATCTTATGTTAAAACAAGATATCCTTCCTTACTCATACACTGTGAATACACAATATAAGGCCTTATTTTAACAGGCATTCATATGGGGAGTCCCAGCTGAAAGAAATCAATAATACAGAAGAAAGTCTGCTTCCTTCATTGCTCATCTGTCTTCAGTAGGAGGAAATGATAGCAAAAGACCAGCAGCTGCAAAGCCTTGAGCTTCCAACTCTGTGGGGTGCCTTGGATCTTTCCGAAACAATGTAAAGTACGTTGACTTGAATCTGGAGATTGTTTGAATGCCTGCCCTTCTGATAGTCATGCTTGTCACCAGCAGGTGTTTCAGGGGACCTCCCAGAATGCAGCAGCACAAAGGCCATGACTAGATTTGCCAAGACAAGGACGGCTTACAGCCTCCCCCTGTGCCCAACCAACTTTTGCTGCACCAACTTGTTCATCCAGTCACGGCATGAAGGTTGCAACCATCAGCAAACCTATTTAGCAGCCTGTCCTCAGATATGAAGTCCCCAGTGCAGCAGAGTTTTTAGGTTTCTTTGAAAAAAATCTTAGACAGCTTTGGTACTTTTGGGCAGTGGGACTGAGAGCTTAACAAACCTTGCCTGGCAGAAAAGTCTCTGCACAGCATAGTCAGGACTATTTATTCCCCATCGACAACAACGTGGCAAAGATGTCGAGGACTGAGAGCTGTAATCTCACAGCCAAAACAAGCAGCAGGAACAGAGCAGCTCTGGGAGAACATGGAGCTTCTTTTCAAGGAAATGTCACCGATAATTAGCACCCCAAGAGAAACAATGATGTGGAGAGAAGTGGGGGGACAAGGGCGGGGAGGCCGTGCCAGACGGGAGGGAGGGTTCCTCATGGATGAGTGGGCCTTCTCCAGCCCTAACTGCCCCCAGCTGCACTGAAGGGGAGCAGGAGGACAGTTTAATGCTCAGAGGCAGTTTGAGCTGAGGCAACCCATATTTTTCATTTCAGGCAAACATAGGCAAGGGAGCTTCCCATGCTGGAAATCTGATCTTCCTTTCAAACCAGCAGCTTCCCTCTCACATGAGATACTGGTGGCAGCTGCTATGAGTGCTTTGCATTAGGTACTGAGGAGGAGCTATAGGTAGTGGTTCCTCTCTTATGGCCTTTCCAGTCTGTGTCTCTTGGGGCATCATATGAGTGGCTTCATCCATCAGCATCAACTTGGATTTTTTCCACTTGAGCACATTAGGTAGTGAGGCTTGAATGTTGTTACGCTCCAAGTCATGGCAGCAGCTGAGATAAAGTGGTAGGTCTCCTTTATATGGGAAATTCTGATATTTTCATCAGATCTGGTACACCTAGTCTTTCACAGTAGCTGCTTAATGGAGTGAGGAATGATTTTCTTTCCTATATGTTCCTGTGTGTGAGGGAACTCCACATGTCAGCAGGTTCAAGAGAGCAGCACACAAAATATCTGAGATGCCACTTGGACAAAAAGTGATGATAACAGGTCTGTGGGCTCTAAGCAAAGAGGGAAAATGAGAAAAATTGCTTTTCTCATTAGAAGACAGGAGGGCAGGAAGGGATCTAATAATCTAGATCAATGTGAAAGACAGACACATGATCTTCAGGCTGCTGAAATGATTTAACCAGAGGCTTGAATGCAAGCCAAGGCTTAAATAGATAACTTAGAACTAGCTGACAAAAAAAGGAATAGAATTACAGAATAAAGTATCTAGCCCTGGCAGTGCCCTGATCATTGTAGACTCCGTCTGCGTGGGTGTTTGGAAGCCACTTTTAATGCTTTGTATGGCAACGTAACACTAGCTTAATACTCTGAAGTGATTTTCTGTATAGCACAGGTAATTCTGCAAGATCTTGGCCATTTGAGCTAGTTAGGTATTAAAGGCAAAAGTGGCAAGTTTACAGCATGAGCACAGTAGACTAAATTACAGCTGTAATTACTGGGGCCATTGAGATAACCTGTGATAATTCAAGAAAAAATTAGTTTTATTTTTCAAAGTGGGGCAGAGTAGATGGAGTCTCTGAAAACATGTGATTATAATAACAGGAAACAAATTCAAAAGAGGTCACAGAGGTCAGATGAATTTCATTACAAATTCTGTTGGCATTGTGAAACCAAAAAGCCTGTCATGTTTGAAGACCTCTGGAAGCAATTATGCCATGCCTTTCTATACTGTGGTCTCTGGTCTCAGATGGCTGACTCATCTGAGAACTCTGATTAACACTGAAGTGGAAAATGAAGTTTAGCTTGAAAAGAAGCATAACAGATGAGGCTGGGGCTGTCACAGACTGTATCTATATCACATGCTTTCTTCAGTGGTCTGTATGCAACATCATTCCTCGCACAGGTGAATGGTCAGGATGATTCCAAGCTCATTTTGCACACTGAATAGGATGTTGTATTGATGCAACTTCATGAAGAACTGGCACAAACTCAGTGTTGGTACATTGGGTCTGATCCCATATTTACCTTCAAGGGTGTAGATCAAAAGCTGCTCTTTACAACTCAGTGGAATTTACGCCAGCGTGAAAGTGATGGGAGAGAAAAATTGAGGTTTTTTTCAGTGCAGCATGGCCATAAATCCACTGAAAAAACTATTTTGAACCAACAGGCAAGGCAGTAAATCTCCTTTATGGATATTCCTTCGAGAGTGTGGAGGGCAGGCACGGTCCTTTTACTATTTGCATATTGTGTTTTGCCATTAAATGGGTCAATATTTTTGTTTGGTTGTTTTTTTTTTCTGGAGTGCATAGGCAGACGATGTTTTCTAACAAAGGCCAGCTGCCATTTCACCTGACTGGGTGAAAACATTCTTGCAAGCCCCTACAACCACACATTGATCTAGTTACTCTATAAGACAGTGCCCAAGGTCTAACAGGGGAAGACAGACACAGCTGAGCTCTTTCAAGCATCTTACCTGCATCCCAATCACAGCGTAGATGAAGAACAACATCACTATTAACAGAGCCACGTAGGGGAGAGCCTAGAAGTAAAAGAAAGAAAGAAAGAGCACTGTGTCTCCACCAAGCCTGCCTCATGCTCCTGGCTTTGGGAAACCAGGCGGAGGCTGGCCCCAAACGTGGAGTCTGTAATTTGGGCAGGTGGCCACTAGATGCCTCTACAGGCCCACATTTGGTTGCCCTCCCCGCCACCACCCAGCTCAGGCAGGCTCCGCTCTGCTCCCACTCGCGGTGGTGGAGCTGCGCTGCCTGCGTGTCAGTCCTGCCCTTGACAGAGCGAGGAAAGCGAGGGCAAAACCAGTGTCTACAGCTGCTCACCAGGAGGAGAAAGCTCTCATAACCAGCATTATTCTGGCACTAAAAGCAATGTGATTTTTTTTTCCTTGATCCAGTCTGGTGAAATAAAAACCGCAACAGCTGCTGAAATCCAAATTGTAGCTTTTGGTACAATGGCTGGCACCATCCTAAGTACCTAAGGCAGCATCAACATCTTCCCTGTTCCAAGCTAGGTGTCCCTGACGGTGTCTGCAATGCACTAAGTGTCTGTGATCAGCTGCTGAAGAGGAAATGCAGAGCCCTGGTATGCAGAGCTGCCGCCTAAGGAAGAGACCAGTGCAATCACCAAAGTGTTGAGTGCTACCGGTTTCCTCTCCCACTAACAGGAATCAAGGGCACAGCTCGGGACCTCACAAGCTCAGGCTTTTGAGGAGGAATTTTCTACTCTGTTGCTTTTGAAATACATAGTGCTCAGACCAGGGATTTCCAGACTTTCCTTCAGAGGCAATGGGTGAGCATGTTCATCCTGAAAATGTGAGCACAGTCCCTGATCTGGACTTTGAACACTCAATTTCACAGAATATAACAAGACTTCAACATTACCAGAGGTTTGGAGCACCTCTCGTGCAGAGACAGGCTGAGAGAGTTGTGTTTGTTCAGCCTGGAGAGGAGAAGGCTCCTTAGAGCACCTTCCAGTACCTATAGGGGGCCTATATAAAGCAATAGAGGGACTTTTTTCAAGGGCATACAGTGACAGGACAAGGGATGATGGCTTTAAACTGAAAGAGGGTAGGTTTAGATTAAATATTAGGAAGAAATTCTTTACTGTGTGGGTGGCAAGACATGAACAGGTTGCCCAGAGAAGCTGTGGATGCATATTTTGTGATTCTGTGATCAAAGCCCGGTTGGATGGAGCTTTGAGCAACCTGGACTAGTGGAATGTGCCCCTGTCCATGGCAAGGGTGTTGGAACTAGATGATCTTTAAGGTCCCTTCCAACCCAAAGCCTTCTATGATCCTAAATTCAACACAGCTAAATCCCATAGGAAGAATCTAGGAAAAACTTTCACTGACCATCATGGAGATTTGACTACGGTCAACATAAATAATCTCAAATCAATCTGAATATTAAAATGGAAAAAATTAAAACCTTTAGACAATGCCTGTAATCATCAATTTGCCCCTGAGGTTTGGGGCAAATTCCTCTGTGTTTTATGGGGTCGTACAAATCTGTATGGTTACCTCACAATGTCACTGGAGAGACACCAGCTCAGAACTGGGCTCTTAACCTTTCGTGATGATCAGGTTGGGACTTGATACACTCAAAACTTAAGAGCCCCTGGGACAGTGTCCAGACAGGATTTGAGGTGTATAACCATAACAGTTCTTCTATCTTTTAAATGGGGTTGGGAAAGTATCTTCTGTCCTGGCCATCTGGCCCTCCACTTCTTTTTCATGTTCTTCTGCTCAGCCCACTCCTTTCCACTAATGCACCTTCCCACTTATCTCTGTCCCTTATTCCCCACGGCTCCTTCACCTCCCCACCTCCCATATTCTACTCTTCGGGCTCTGTCCTACTCTGCCTCTGTCTCTGTCCTTCCCTGGCTTTACCACTTTGTCCTTGTGATTCCCATGGCCTTGCCGTGCCCTCAGCACCCCTCTCACTTCCTCCTCCTCCCACTCACCAGCCTGAGCTCTGTTGCTGTCTCTGCAGACGGAAAGCCCGCTGAGCATTTTCCCATCCCACACTCCTCTGACCAGTGCCCCAACTTGTACGTCAGCACTTTGTGCCATGCCCAGGGCACGTGGTAGTTACGGTGGGATCTAACTCCAGCACAAGTTTGTTGCTTATTAGTCTGCCCTGTGTGAGCAGAGACGCTTCCTGGAAGCATATGGGGACACAGAGAGGAGCTTGTGCCAAAGTCTGCAGGGATCCCACATTCTGACAGTGGGAGTGGCTGAATCAAGAGCGGCACAGAGACTATTCTTAGCTACCAAAGGAGCCTCCCAGTAGTTGCAAGAGGAGGAGCTTGGAGCAGAGAATACCATGTTATAAATGGCTAAAGGCTTTCAAGAGAAAAGGCACTTGCTTGCAATGATTTTTTTTCTTTTCTGTTTTCTTTTTTTCCTCCCCTGCTGTGGAAGATCCCTCCCTTCATACTTTCTCCCACCACCCTACAACCCTGCCCAAAAGTGACTCTTACATAAAAGAGGTCTAAAGGTCACTGGAGGGAAGTACCAGGCACTCCCTTTCCCATCCATCTCATCCTCTTCAGCCAAGAGCCATGGCAAGCTGAGCTCAGGGTAAGATCGAGCTACTGCTAAAGAGGCTGGAGGGCCACAGGGGCAAGAGGAGTAGAAGCAGGAACTGGAAAGTGTGACTCTGCCCCCTGCATCAAGGATAGCTGAGCTGTGCCAAGGGAATTTCATTCCTATGCATGCAGACAAAACGGTTCCCACTGGAGCTGCTCAAATAACAACCTGGAAGTTAGCAACCATGTAAGCAATGGAAAAAGTCACTTGTGGTACAGATGTGTCAGAAAACTGCTGTGCAATATTAGATCCTCTGGCAGTCAAGGAGTGTGCAAAATGAGAGTCCTTTGTATAAGCCTGGTGGTCTGGCTACCGAGACCACGGAGAGCTGCACTGGAAAAAGTCCAGGCTGATCCCCAGTGTACACACATGCTAATTCTGCTGACAGGAGTTGCAATGATCCACAGCACTGCAGGCTTTGGTCCCAGCTTGTGTTGCCACTGGTGAGGTTTAGGTTTTAAAAGTGTGGATCTGCTCCTTTTCCATTAGAGCCAACACAAAAGCTATTGATCATTTAAAGCCTCCGTGTGAAGGATGCGTAGTTGCCGTTTCAAGACTTGTGTGTTGCACAAGTTACTCTTTCATGCTTTTGTTCACTGGTGTGTTCTGCATCTTTTCTCGTGTATAGACCACCATTTGTATTCCTGTGCTGTCATTCCCTGACACTTCTTTTGGACATGCCCCAGCTAACTTCCAGGTTGTGCTGGTCCAATAAAACCAGGTCAAGTACTTTTAAAATGCAAGAATATGCTATACTTCATCTCTATCATCTTACTATATGTGGCTAGTTTTTTTCTAGCAAATAACTGTGGTGTTTCTTTTCCCCCAGAGGTGATGATTCTTATCCAGTCTGGTCTTCTTCACCTTCCTCTCTCTACTCTGGTACTTTATCTACCACTGAAATGCAACCTGTCTCTAGGGGTAAAAGTAGCAGCAATTTAATAAGTTGGCATTGCATGGGGCCAAAAAGGTGAATTCTTCCCGGGTGAAAGTATGGAGGCCACACACCTCTAATACTTACTGGAAATCCTCAAAATAAGGCTTAAAGGAAATTTAATTGAGACCCAGGCCTTCCCCATAGCTGTGTATTTCAGTTAAAGCAACACATAAAATACAGCTCAAATAGGAAAAAAAAAAAAGGAGACTGAAGGGTTACAGACAGGCAGTAATCGAGTTGAACTGAACTATCAAAGCTGCTCAGAAAGGTCTCAAGCAACTACTCAGGCTTTAAAGATGAAACTCGTACGCAGGCAGCCACTCCTTGTGAGTCACATTTGCTTGACTCTCACTTGTGCCACGTGTCCCTGGTGTGCCCAGCTCTGCCTTTGAGCTCAGGCACTTGGGTGAAACCCCTCCACGAGAGGCCACCAAGGGGAAATAAAAAGGAGTTAGGTCTTACTGAGAGATAAGCGGAGGAATACCTGGAAGGATTTGATGAAGGTCCAAAGCAGAGTCCGGATGCCCTCCCCTCGGCTCAGGAGCTTCACGAGACGCATCACGCGGAAGAGTCGGAAGAAGGTGATTGAGATGCGAGAGTTTTCCTCTGCGTTCTGGAAGCCATTGGCACAGAGGCAGGAGTTACAACAGCACGAGAGGAATGGGGGCCCTGGGCCACAGAGGACGCTACGTCGAGAGTTCACTGCACTGTTCCTTGTCCTGGTACTGCTCCCTGGGCTTCCAGTGTCCTGGCACCCCAGGGACGGGCCGAAGTGGTCAAGCCGGCCCTGTCTCCCATGGTGGTGAAGCCACTCTACAGAGGCTCTCAAGGCCATGAGACTCTCCCTTCAGGTTGCCTGGGCTTTTGGGGATTAGGGATATGTTATGCCGTAAACCTCTCCACTGCATCTCCTCTTTACATTGGAAAGATGCAAATCCCCTTTGACATTGCACTGGAGGAGAAGGACACTTTCTCTTTTGACCTGTCTCAGGTGTTTTATGACCCAGTGAGCGCCTCAGCCAGCAGTTCTGGTGAATCTGGTATCGGGCACCAGCCACATGCTGCTTGTTCTGCTGGGAAACAGTAGCAGGTCTGGGGTGCAAAACCCCACAGGGGCACGGTGAGTGCTGGCCCCTGCCCAGCTGCTGGAGTCACTGGCACCACTGTCAGCCTGGCTGTCCCTGCGCTGCCCTGGCCATGCTTCTGGGGGCTGGGCCGGGATCGCTCGCTCCCGCTGCTCTGTGCTCGGGCCTTCTGCATTTCTCATGACCCCTTTGTATTTCCCACAGTCTGCGCACTGACTTTTGCTTTTTTAAAAACATTTTATTTTGGCTTCACCGCTACTGTTCAAGCGTGCAGTATTTTAAAATAGTCTTTCTTCTAGCCTGTTTTTTTTTCTCACAGCATCTGCTTTGTCCCTAAGCGTTTTCCCCTGGGGCTGCAACCATCTCTGACGTCCCTCAGCCTTCACATGTGTGAAGGCAACATCCATCTGAGGGCTGCTGTGGCAGCAGGCTCACCTGGCCTTGGCAGAGGACCCACCGTCTAGCTCAAGGGCACAGCAAATGCCACTTCTCCCAGTTTCTTAACCCTCTAAAATACTGTGTGAAGCCTGTGGAGATGGTGGCTTCCGGTAGCAGCACTGTGGGAATGTGACCTCCTGTCACAGGGGGAGATAACACTGTCACCCTGCCACTTGACCTGCTGTGGAGCAAAGTGCACGGAAACCCCCGTCTCTGTCCCCACCCAGGCTGCAAAGACTGCAGTTTGAGTCTAAATGCTACCAAAAGAGCAACATTTAGGAGGAAGAAACAGTGCAGATCACCCCTGCTGTTAACTACTCACCACTGTGTAAACCAAGAGAGAACAGACCCTTTGGATTTCCTGTCACTGGGCAGTGAAAACAGCAGCCGCTTGCCTGCCTGCTTCTGATAAAACCCAAGGCACAGGGACAGCCCAGATGGATGTTTCTGGGATTGTCCAGATGCAGATGTGTACCTGTGCGCTGTGTGTGCTCCTGTTTCTACCCAGGATGGCACTCAGCTCTGCCCACATCCCAGCTCCTGCGGAGCAGCCACAGAGCGCTCAGGGGCTGGAGCTGTGTGCTGGGTGTGTGAACCCTGCTTGCACAGAGAGCTCAGCACCAGGTACAGCATTTCAGGATTGCACCCCAGCTGCAGTTTGTCTGTCTGTCTGTGGTCTATCTATCACCAGTGGATAGTTTGGGTAGCTTCCTCCAGTCTGTGGCAAAGGCCGAAGCTCACTGTCCGTGGAGTAAGTGGGTGAAAAAGATTAGGGGAACAGGCTGTGTCAAGGAAAAGCCTGAGTGCTCCCTACATCGCACATAATTCTCATTTTATTACTTGGACAACAAACTGTGGGCTTCAGTGAATCAGAGGGAGTTGCTCTGAGGTGAAGGAGGGAATGCGGCCTCCAAGAAATTAAAAATCATGACATTCCATACCTTCAGCACTATGGTCCCTGAGGGCTAACTCTAAGGTCACACACCTCTCCCAATCTTACAGAAGTCCTACGGCCTCCCTTCCACTTCTCTAAGAAGCCGAACTCCAATACTACTTAAAAGAGAGCTGAAGTCCAAATTTGAAAGTTGTGTGGACAGCAATATTGCTGGGGTTGTGATAAAAAAAAAAGTGTTTTCCTATTCTACCTGCTACTCCTCTTGTTGCTTTGGCCCTTTGGGTGGTAGCAAGTTAGGATATGGGTCTGGATGGAGGTTTTAGCATTCCTGCATCTTTCCTTGCTCAGAGGAGGCAGCTGTTGTAGCGAGAAAATTATTCCTGTCCCTAGAACTCTAGGGCAGGCAAAATCTAAGCAGCAGATAAAACAGAACAAATTTCTCCCTGACGCAAATCTGCAACTTACTGGCATCAAACCACTTAGCCAAAAGCTCAGTGATGCCTCAGAAGATTGCAGTCATTTTAAGACTAGATGGCTACAGATTAGCTGGTGCTTGAGTAGCCTTGCTTGCTTTCTCCTGGCTTTCATCCATCTTTTTGAAGGCACGTCCTTGCCAGTGGAGGGAGGTTCTGCAAAGTGGCAATCAAGAGACTGGAGTTACTGCAACTCTGTTGGGGTGGTGTGGGAACTGCCTTGCACACCAAGGTAGAGGAGTTGTGTGCATGACTTACTTTTTTTTGTGTGAAGTACAAACTCAAATGTTAAAGTGAATCACCTCACTGAAGAGGAACTTCAGAGTCCCAATCTCTTCTTGTCCAGAGGGCTGGACATGAAGTCACATCGCAAACTCATTCAGTGTCACATGGACAGAGACACAGTTTGTGCCTAACAAGAAATCTGACCAGGTCTAGTTCTCTCTTGGTGGTTCATTAGAAGGCAGAACAACAGTTAACTTGACCAAAGGAAAGCTCAGGATGCACAAGAAATACACATGTGCAGCATATTCACAGCTCATGTGAACACCAGACTCACAGCAATACACGACATGGCAGCTTCATGCACAAATAACTAGGCTGGGCTTGGAGAGAGAACTTGTGATCACGGAGAAGAGAAAAAAGGAGTGTGTTAGAAAGAGTGTCACAGAAGCTGGGAGGGTGGTCTGTATTTTCGGTCTTACCATAGAGGAAGAGCATTGGGTATGTTCAGCTGGCTTTAAAGAAAGGCAGACAGAAATAAGCTGTAATAAGTCTCCAATCAAGAGCCCTAGTAAACTAGGTCTTGGCTAACACAGGAGCAACAAAATGGCAGAAGAGGGCAAAAGGGAATTTGAAAAAAATGCACAAGAGGCTGGGCTTATTCCCTAGGATGCCCAGGATCAATGCTGGTCATGAATTTGATGTAAGCTCTATCCACTACCACCACATGTGAATCACACCCAGGATCTCCTGAGTGCTGGATATCCTGGCGTCCAGGCAGTGGAGGTACCGACATTGTTAAAATGTTTGTTTAATCACTGCTATCAAGTTCAATACAGGGGCTGATTTAGCTCTCCAACTCAGATCCAGGCCATGTCTGTGCAGGGACCAGCCAGCTTCTAGTGCATCCGTCTGATTTGTAAACCCGAAACATCCCAGTGCTAAAGCAACACTTTCTATTTATATATCCTCATTCCCTTACACATAGTTCTGGGTGAGATAATGGGTTGGGAGAGCCTAACTGGCTCTTGGCAACCCTGAAACACCCACCACCAGCTGTGGAAAGCGAGTTGGTATAGCTAATTAGTTTGATGTACCTTCATTCACCTCACAGCAAAGCTGTGTTCTTGGAGGCCAGGCTGAGCTGAGCTGAGCCCCAGTCATACCTGGAAGAGTCTAGCTGCTGCAAACACTCTGCCTGACATTCCTTGATTAACCTCTGGGGCCATTTCCAGTACTGAGAGCAATTCTAAAATACACCCAAGGCTGCAAATATCCTTAGGTGTAAGAAGCAGAATTGGAAATTAAATAAAGCCATCTTTATCAGGAATCCTTCAGTTCAATAGTAACATAATCCTTCAGGCCTAACCTCTACCATATGCCCCATATGCCAAACCTGTCTGTCATCACTTTCCATGACACATTAGCAAGTGGAAACTGATGTATTTCCTCTTCTGCCAGTGACAGAATTCCCCTGTAGTGCCATGCAGGACTCCTGCAGCATGCTCCTGCTCTTCAAGGATGCTGCAGGAACCAATTGGCACTGTATTACCTAAATAACAATTGTGGTTTAGATGCACAGTCTATTTGGTGATATAGGCAAAAAGGAACAATTAAAAACCCAGGGTATACCTAATCATGTAATAGTCTTTTGGGTTAACTCATTGGTTTGGTAATGACAGCTTTCATTGTTTTTATCTTCCTCTTTTACATGTTTGCTCTTGTGTTTTCAGATCACATACAAGCAAAAGTTGGCTTGAATACCAAATAAAGGAGCAGTGCCCATAGAGACATTTCTTACAGGTCAGGCATAGATTTTGATTTTGTGTTGCTAGGCAAACATCTTTCCAGCAAAGAGTTTCTCTGTCCCATCCCCCTTCCTCTTCCTAGTTTTACAAATCATCTTTTCTAATAGTGGAAGGAACCCTAATCTGCTAGTTGCTACATTCCTGTTAGAAGGTACAAAGGCCTTTCAAAATAAAGGAAGGAAGCCTAGAAACTTTCAGCACCTTTCAGGATTCTCCATCCTTCCTGGCTGGCAGTGTTGGTGGATCTGTCACTGACAGGCTGAAAAAACCTTTTGAGTTACTGTGGAATATCATACCTTAACTGTCGTTTTGATATTTGTTAGTATTGCATCAGAAAGTGCAGACGATAGCAGTGTGAGTAAAAAAATATGTATAAGAGCATATGACTTTATGAGGTTGATATAGGATGCTCAGTTTGGAGGAGTTGGCATCATGTGGTAAACCCGAAGTTTCTGAGTATCTTTGGCACTGCTGGGAAAGGGAAGCAGAAGTTGACTTACTCCTCTCTTACTCCCTGACCTAACTGGCCTGCGTTTTAAGTTGGGTCAAATATGGAGCAAATTGTATCACTACCTGTGGTAGAGGCTCAAAAGCAGCATGGGGAAGGTTTCTGCTACTGCCAGATTTTCTGAGAATCTTCAACCTTGCAAGTGATGTGGGTATGCCAATTTTAGGGCAAGGACAGGCCACTGACATCTGAGAATGCAGTAGTCACATCAGTTCTCAGGGATGGAAGCATGGTGACAGGTACTTGGAATTAAAGCCAGTGTCTCTTGCCCACGTGAAGTGGATAGGATTTCATTTCTACAAATCTCAGAATAACGTAGAAAAACAAATCCTGGCCTGTTTAATGTCATTGAAAGAGCTTTTGGAGAAGCTGCACCACTTAAGAGAAAGCATCCTTGTTTGTAGTGTTTAATTAAGGAAGAGACTGCAAAGGAACTTACAGCCTTCTATCCTTGTTCTTGTCATTTGGGACACAAGTAGGATGCACATACTGAATGAGAAAGGTCCGAAACAGTGAGATCAGTCAGAGATGATGTTCTGTGCAACTTCCATCATACAGAAAAGGGACTTGAAGTATAAATCCCAAACAAGTCCAGGCCCGTATTTAGAGCGATGTAGAAGGGAACCTGCGGCCCAAGAGTGGGAAGAGAAATATCTGAGGCAGGATGTGTCAGTGTAAAGACTCTCAAGAGGATGACTGCACTGAAACCATTTGGGTAATATTTTTTTATTTCTTTTGATGTCATTATATTTAAAAAGGTAACAGAGATGCTAAGGAGCAGAAGAGGTCAAGAAAGAGAAGAGCATGTTCTAGAAGCCCAAGTAAAGATTCAGTAGGATAAAGACTGAGTGATCTCTGAAGCGTGTCTGAAAAGCTCCTCAGGATACTGTTGCCTGCATGCATCTCATTTTAACTATGCTCAGTGTGTACCAGAACACCGAATTTTAAGCAGATACATTGCTTGAGCTGCTGCAAACCTGTGAGCATCTTTAAAGCCCCTACAGGCACACAAGAGAAAGGCACAGCTTATGCCCAGTATGAAGTCAGGATCCCAGGGAAGGAAGTGTCTGGGAAAGAAGACAGGTTTATTTGATGGACAGATACTTAAAATCTCAAGAGAGCACAGCAGAAAGTAACTTGTGTTCCTGTTAGTCATGCTCTGCCTGGGTAGGTGGAAGTAAGGTTTACTGGTGGCTGTTTACAGAGATCATAACCCCTCCAGGTCCTGTTGGACCTCCATACTGTCTCACATGTCAGATTTGGTGTCTGATACTGTCATCAAGTCAAGGACATAGGAAGCCAGGATAGGATAAAATTTTCACTCCAGGAGAACCAGTCTCAGTCTTTCAAGGGTGATATGTAACAATCAATATTGTATGATATTTATGCTGTTATGCAATTCATTCTGAAATTCTGAGAAGGCATGATGTGGCTTTTCAGAGCTGTAAAGATGGAAGCAAAAAGACTGAACACTTTGTATAGTCCTGGTAGCATCAAAGCCCTGTGAAATATTCATGGCTTAGAATATCTTCTGGATAAAGATTTGGAAGAAAACAATAAGATGTGTTAACAAACAGATTCAAATGAAAGTTTTAGTAGAAAATTCTTGCGAAGAGATATATTAATCCCACCTCATCCCTGTGGAACACTGGAGATGGAGGACCATGTTGAGAGGTTTGAGTTCCCTGGGGGTTTGGGCTGGTTTGCTGACAGCTATAATGGCTATGCAGAGAAGCAGCACCTAGAAATGCCTGAAGGGGAGGTTCATCAGCTCTGTGCAGCATATGTTTAATCAATACATCCAAGGAGGCTCCTGGACTGCTGGGTAAGTATGTTTTAGTAGTTGTAGAAGCTTGATTGCCACCAAGATGACAGGACAGGCAGGCAGCATTCCCATTACCACCACTGCTGATGGTAGTAATTTTTTAATACCACAGAACACACTGAAGACAAGATGAGTTCAGCTCCCTTGGAGTATCCATTCTTTGCTCGAAGTACAAACTGATTTTTTCCCCTAATGTTTGAGGAGCAAAACATCCTTTAATTTCATTCTCAGGGAAGAATCTCTTTTTGCAAGAGAGAATCCAACATTTATGTTGTGGAAAACTTTGGCCTGGCTCGATCTGGAGAGCATTTCTGCAGCTAAATGCAAAGTGTTATTATTGCTTTGCTAGTCAGAGTTGTCTCAGTGAATGCAGTGACACGACTGCAGCCTTCTAGTTTTGTCTGATAGCCCAAGGTTAGAAGAGATGAGAGGAAATCTGTGTTTGAAATGCTGGCACCAGGATGTGACAGAGTAAATTCATATTTTTCAACAAAACAAATGGTCAGACGCTTATGCTGCCTTTTGTGATAAACAATCTATAATGGCATTTCTCCACTGAGGAAACTATGGCTGGTGGATGCAGCTCTTAGGAGACCACTCACAGTAGCTGATTGATGATGGATGTCTGCTAAGACGTTTCCGTGGTTGCTGTTGATGTCTGGAGAATGAAAAGTTACCCCTGAAGATTGCCCATTGGTTTGTCCCACGAGAAAGGAGGGCGACAGATGTTCATTTCTTGCTTTTTTCTGCTCATTGCAGGAAGGATGCCCCTGAGAATCCACACTGTAGAGTTCACCTGAGCAGACTGCAGTGCTGTGTGGTTCCCCTGCAGTTGTAGGGTATCAGTCTTTTCCAGCTCAAATTCTTTGTATGTAGAGGTCTCCTCCAAGAGCCCTGCCTACTTTAGCCATACTGCATCTGTGACCTTCTTGGACCCAAAAAGAAGGGTGGAAAGGGACATTCTGGGGAAATGAACTCATCATACAAACACAGATAAGATTTGGAGAGGAAGTGTAAGCACAAACAGGGCAATGGCAAGCCAACAACGCTACTGTTCTGGACTTTTTTCTTTCACATGGAGTTCACACTGAGATGGGATTGCCATGACCTGAGTTTCAAAAAGAAAAAGAATTTACCAGAGTATGGCAGAAAAAGAGATTTATAATTTATCAGTGCCATGGAGGCATGACAAAAGAAGACACAAGATTTCCTCTTGTGTTTGTAGTGTCAAAAATCTGAAGCGGCCTCAGGAGTCTGAGTAACACAAGTCTTTGTGGAGAGCTGGAAGAAGTCAGGGTTTCAAATCACCCTGGCTGCTGGCAGGTATTAGCCTGCCCTTTCACTGGGGAGTTACCACAGCCCCTTCCAGAGCCA